CTAGCCTTGAGCTGAAGAGCTGAGGGACAGCGCCCAGGCCCAGAGTTCAGGCCCCACAACCGGACCCCCCAAAAAGAAAAAGAAAAAGAATAAAATTTAAACCAATATGTTTATGGTTGATTTATTTTGTTTATTACAGAGAAGGTATTAATTGGTCAAGTTGTGTGGTTCTAATAAAATCTTCCCAGTCTAAATTATTTGTGTGACAATACTGGGACTTGAACTCAGGACCTAGGTATGCTCTCTGAGCTTTTTTACTCAAGAATAGCACTCTACCACTAGAAGCCACAGCTCCACTTCTGACTTTTTGGTAGTTCATTGGAGATAAGAGTTTCACGGACTTTTCTTGTCTGGGTTGGCTTTGAGCTGCAGTCCTCAGATCTCAGCTTCCTGTGTAGCTATGATCACAGAAATGAGCCATCAGCACCCAGTCCAGTGTAACTTTTAATCTATTTTGTTTTGCAAAACAAAATTAAGTTTATGTTTAGGCAGGTAGGTGTATTGGAAAGGCCTGGGTCCTAGTGCCAATTTAAAACCATTTATTTGCTAGGCAATCCCGACAAATTATGACCTGTTTGCTCTGTTTCCTCACTAGTAAAATGGCACTTTTGAGCACAGAGTTGTTGTGAAGATAAAAGACTATATTCAAACATATAGTGGGTAATTTTTCTTACTACCAAAGAAGTTACTAAATTGTTTGCTGCTAGTCCTGGGGCTTGAACTCAGGACCTAGGCATTGTCCTTTAGCTTTTTCATTCAAGGCTGGCACTCTACCATTGAAGCCACAGCTTTACTTTTGGCTTTTGGGTAATTAATTGAAGATATGAGCCTCATAGACTTTTTTTATGATCTGGCTTCAAACTGGGATCCTTAAATCTCAGCCTCCTTAGGAACTAGGATTGGAGGCACAAGCCACCAATAAGAATTGCCATTACCATTTTTCTTTCTTTTTTTTTGTCGGTCCTGGGGCTTGAACTCTGGGCCTGGGCACTGTCCTTCAGCTCTTCAGCTCAAGGCGAGTGCTCTACCACTTGAGCTACAGCGCCACTTCCGGTTTTCTGGTGGTTTATTGGAGATAGGAGTCTCTCCTGCCCGGGCTGGCTTTGAACCACGATCCTCAGATCTCAGCCTCCTGAGTAGCTAGGATTACAGGCGTGAGCCACCAGCGCCCGGCGCCATTACCATTTTTCACTAGGTATAGGTTTCCTCTAAATCATTTTGAAAGTATAAAGGTTAGTAAATGGTGAATTCTTTTACAGCCAAAAGTATTCTGGAGAAGATTGCAGAAAATCCAGAGGCTAGTGACTTGCTTGGATATTTAGGAGAAGTAACTGGAGTGTCCCAATTGAAAATTGAAAAATGGCTTGTTCTAGTGAAAAGGTCAAGCTGATAATAGCATTATTTCACCTCTGTTTCCTCTGAAGGAATCACCATCAGGGACCTAAGTAGTTACTTCAAACACAACATCTGTATTGACTGTCTATCATAGCACTTTGTAACTTATTCTGGGTGATTTTTGCCTAATTGCAAACTGTTTAGCATGCAAAAATAATTTTAGCTTGAAGCACACATGTTAAGCAACAAAGCAGCTTTTATTTGAAGGTGGAAAAGGAGCACTAAAACTCAAATCAGACTTTTGTGTGTGTATGCCAGTACTAGCTTAAACTCAGGCCTGGGCACTGTCCCCTTAGTTTCTTTGTTTTGGAGTTTTTGTTGTTGTTGTTTGCTCAAGGGTGGTACTCTACAACTTGAGCCACCCTGTCACTTCTGGCTTTTTGGTCCTTAATCATAGGTAAGAGTCTCATAGTCATTCTTTCATTCCTGCCCAGGCTGGCTTCCAACCATTATCTTCAAATCTCAACCTGAGTAGCTAGGATTACAGGCTAGTGTCCAGCTTAAATCAGACATTTTTTAAAAGGAGACTACTGGTAAAGGCTTAGAAATCTGGAGAAACATCTGGCTTCTAAAGATTGCAGTAACTTTTTTGGTCCATTGTGGGGCTTGAACTCAAGGCAGCACTCTACCACTTGAGCCACAGCGCCACTTCCCGCTTTTTCTGTTTATGTGGTGCTG